ATGCGTAACAGTGTGAAGAGATGAAGAGTGGAAAAACCATTTGCAAAACTTTCCAGATAAGGGACTAACATTCAAAATGCAGAGGGAATTCAGTCTATTCAATAAAACAAGTAAGCCTATTAGAAATGGGGAAAGGACTGGAATGATATTTCTCAAAAGAAGGCATAGAAAGAGCAAATAAATGAGAAAATTCTCAAAGCCTCTAATTGGAGACCTGAGAATTAAAATCACAGTGACCCCCCTACCATTACATTGGTGATGGTCAAAATGCTGAGTGATAAATGTTGGTAAGGAGAAAGAAAAGAGGGAACACTTGTACCCTGTCAGTGGTCTTGTAAATTAGTACAGCCACTCTGGGACATAGTTTTAAGTTTCCTCAAAAATCTAAATATATAACTACCCTATGATTCAGCAATTCTACTTCTGGGTTTAAACTAGGATTTAGGATTTAAATTAGCATGATGGAGATATATCTGCACTCTTGTGGTCTTTGCAGCATTATTTACAATAGTGATGACGTAGAATCAATTTCAGTGTTCATCAATGGGTGGATGGACAAAGAAAGTGTGGATTACATATACATAATTAGATTTTATTCCACTCTTAAGTAGCAGGAAGTTCTGTCATTTGCAATAATTTGGATGACATTGAAGGATGTTATGCTAAGTGAGATAAGCCAGGGAAAACAAAACACTTGACCACACGAGCTCACTTGTGTGTGGAATCTAAGAGCATAAAATCACACAGCAGAGAGTATGGAGGGGTGTGGTTGCGCATAGGCATCAGAGGGTACGAACTGCAGTCATAAGTCTGGGAGGTCCATTGCACAGAATGATGAGTATAGTTAATAATGTTCTGTATATTTCAAAATAATAAAAAGGGTACATTTTAAGTATTCTCTTCATCAAGAAATAAGTATTTGAGGCGATGGATGTGTTAACTAGACAGATTTGATTATTCCACAGTATGCACATGTATCCCAACCTCATTTTGTACCCCATAAATATATAGTTTTCAATTAAAAACAAAACTTAAAAATGAAACACATATATCAAATACTGAGTTTGCAAAACATTTACAAGTAAACGAAATAATCTTTATTTGTAGATGATATCAAAAATCCTAATGAAAAACCTGCTAAAACTAATATGTGGGCTTAACAAAGCACATATACAAGATCAATATACACAAATAATTTGAATGTTTTTATACTAGAAATGATCATTTCAAAGTTGAAATTTAAAAAAATACTCTTTAGCTTAGAAAACTACAAAATACTCAGATGCAAGTCTTGCAAAACAGAAACATGAGACCTGATCACACACAGAGAAGTTTTTAAGCTTTATTGGAGAGAGATACCATGGTCGCAAATTGGAAAACAATATTCTTAAGTCGTCAATTCACTGTAGATTTAATGAAATCCTAATCAAAGTCCAAGCAGGTTTCTTATAGAAATTGGCGGGATAATTTTAAAACGTGTAGGAAATGCAAAAAGATTCAGGATAGCCAAAACAATTTGAGAATGAGCAATTCACAAGACTTACACTAAATATCCAATAAACAAGAGATTGAAGTGTTTGATCTATCGATCAAGTGGACAGAATAAAGCTCAGAAACAGACCTACTTATAAGGGATAAATTTATTCTTGACAAAGGTACCAAAGTAATTCAATATGTAAAGAACAATGTTTTCTTTTAGTAGTGCTGAAGCATCTGGACATCCATATGCAAAACTGTGATCCTTAAATCATCTCATAAGAGATATAAAAATTAACATGACATGGATGATAGACTTCACAGTAAAAGTTAAAAATTAAGAATTTTACAAACAAGAGAGTGAAACTATTTTTCTCATTGGGGTTAGGCGAAGGTTTATTTAAAACCTTTAAAAAACAAATGGATAGGACTTAATCCAAAATTTAAAACTTCTGGCCTTTGAAAGATATTTTTAAGAAAAGATAAACTACAATACTGGCAAAAATATTTCTAAAATATATATCTGATAAATGACCTGCATCCAGATTAGAGAGAAATTCTGACAGTTTAGACAAACAACCCAATTAAAAGTATGAACAAATATCTGAACAGATACTTCACAAAAGTTCCAGAAATGGCTAATGAGCATGCAGAATGAGATCGCCATCATTAATCCTGGAGGAAATACAAATTAAAGCCAGAAGGAGACACCTCTACACCCCCACTGGCAAGGCTAAAATTAAAAAGACTGACAATATCAAGTGTTGACAAGCAGATGACACAATTGGATCTTCATTCATGCCCAGGGTGAGTGCAAATACAGGACATCTCCTTTGGAAAGCTATTTGGCAGATTCTCATAACATTAAACACACACGTGGCATAGGACCCAGAAATCCCACTCCTGTGTATTTTCCCAAGGAGGGGAAACATATGTGTCAAAAAAACCTGTATATAAATATTCAGAGCAGATTTATTTATAGCAGTCCAAACCTGGCAGGAAGACAAGTGTCCACCGACCAGTAAACAGATAGATGTTGAATACCCATGTAGCATAAACCTGCTAGCAATAGAGACAGGCTCCTGACACATATGAGACCACAAACAAATCTTAAAAGCATATTGAATTAAAGAAGTCAGCCACAAAAGGCAGAATGCTGTGTGGTTCTATTTATAGGACATTCTGGAAAAGGCAAAATTATAGGGAAAGAAGCACAGCAGTTGTTCCCAGGGGAAATAGGGTGGAGCAGGAGTTTGAGGGAAATTTTGGATGATTGAAATAGTCTTCAAAAAGGGATGGGGGAAGTTTGGTATGGAAATGTTCTTCCTGTCTTCGTCGTGGTAGTGGTTATACAATTGCAAGCCCTTTTCAAAACTCACGGTGTGTATTGAAATAAACATGATGCAAAAGGACGTACTCTGCAATGAGTTAGTCTTTGAAAAAAAAATCAAAATAACAGTTTTAACTGTTTCATAAAAAAAACTCTTTACAATTTGTTATAATACTATATTTTGGGGGTGAATGGTATGATGAATTGGTTCAGAACATGGCTCTACAAGTCTGACCAACCTCAAACCCCACGGCTACCTTTTACATAAGAAATTCTTATGCATTTTTGTTTGGGGACTGATGAGAGAAGCTATCAGAAGAATCGATCTGAACACGGGCCTTAAATGCCAATTTAAGTCTCCTTGCTTTTCGTTGTGTGGTGGATGACTGGGGTCAGATAGGAGAGACACAAATCAGATGTGCATTGTACCCACATGGCTTCTCTCACCCTGGAGAAGACAGACTGATGCTAGATCGAGGCTGGAGGATGAGAGACAGGTGTGCAAACTTGTGAGACAAATCTGGGCAAAGGACAGTGACATTCTATTCTGGGACAATAGGAATAGGAAGATGACAATGAATTCTAGAGACTTTTAGAATCCAGCAACTATATATGGACAACGAATATCAGACTTCATGTTTGGGTAGCCCAGTAGGTGATGGTACCCCTAATAAATTCAAAACATGTTTATGCCAGGGAAATGATGCATTTAGTTGTTGATATTTAGTATCAAAGTTGGAAAAGGAACCGTGTACATGGTAACTGAAGTCACAAATGAAAAAAAAAAATCCCTCCAGAAAAGCACGTTAGAGTGAGAAGACACCCAGAAATAGATCTCTGAGAAATACCAATATTTAAGGCTGTAGATAAAAAGATTTTAGATAATGCTCAGGAAAACAGAAGGAGAATCAAGAGCAAGTAACATTAAAAGAAAGTAAAGAAAGAGTTTCAAGAATGAGTTATCAAGAGCATCATTTGTAGCAGTAATATCAAGGAAAACAGACTAAAGTATACTCGGTGGGGCTGGGTAGTTTTAGTGCTAGGGGAAAAACCAGATCACTACAGTCTGAAGAGTGAATGGTAAATTAAAGATGTAAAAGTATCTCATGCAGGCTGTTCATAATAATCTGGAGGGGCCAGAGAATAGAATGGTGCTAGGAGACACAAGATTGCTACAGTGAGGGAAAGTGTCCCCTAAAGAGTCACCTGTCAATCTGTGAGGTGTGACTATCGGGGGGTGCTGTGGACCTTTGGGAGATAGCTCGAGGGGAGAGGTTTTAATGTTATAGTGGGTATTTGCTCTAAGAGGATTGTGTGGCCCCAACCCCTTCTTGTCTGGCTCTCCTGCCTTCTAGCTCCAGGTGAGTGTTTTGCTCTTTCTGGGGCCCTGATGCACGTGAAGCCAAAGAATGAGGCCACTGAGTCTTGGACTGGAACTTCCAGAACCATAAACCAAAGCCAATCTCTTTGTACGTTAATTGCCTTGGGCACTTCCTTATAGTAACAGGAAGCTAACACAAGAATTGAAGAAGAGTTTTGCTCCTGTAAGACACGGGAGTGACTGGACTATCTTATACTGGTGGTGAAAAAAAGATGGAGAAGAGAAAAATTCCAAACATGCAGGAGGGTCAAAGTCAAAGCAGGAGATGGAAATCAAGCCAGATACTTGACCCTGGAAAATGTAATATAAAGAATTAATAAATATGCATAAAACTGTTTGTCAGGTCATTTAAAGGTGGGAAGAGACAACGGCAGCAGCAAAAAAGATGACAGTGGCAGTTGTGAGAGGCATCCAGCACACTTCAGGCTGAAGGGCTTGAGGAGGGCGGGAGTTTGCAAAATGTAAGAGGAGCAGGAAAGGCAACTACAAGCATATTTTATGAAGATGGCATTTGAGCTGAGCTTAAATAGAAACGAAAGAATATTTCCTAGCAAAGTGCATGTGCTTAATACATAGTTGCTGGAAAATAAAATTAGGGAATCGAGTGAGCAAAAGTCTAGAGGACAAAAGTATGGAAAACCGGGGGAAAAAGTTTGGCTGGGGCTTGAGTGGTAGAGTGAGAAGGCCACAGAGAGAACAGGAAGGGGCAGGCAGCCTAGAACCCCCCCCGGGGGGGGCGTTGAAAAGTTATCTTTGGACGCCATTGACATTTGGGCAGGGAAAGGGCAAGACGAGAGCGAGAATTTCCAGAAGCTTGGTCTGTGTATGCCGGAAGGAGAAGGGGTAGGAAACCGAAGTCATCAGTTATAAAGCCAAACGTGACGGCCTGGGTTGGGGTAAGGATGTGAGGGGGAACGGAGAGGGATCAAAATGCAGGTGGCTGAATGGTGGCTTAGTTGCTGATTACCATTGCCGTGTCAGGTAGAGAAGGAAGAAATGAAACAGATTCTTGCTTTCTTTATATGGGCTATCGGGAGGAATGGCGGAAGAGGAAGAAAGAAGGAAGAGGAGATTTGCTAGGGCCAAGATGAGTTCTGAGGAGGCTCTGCAGCTTATTTCCTGCCCAAAGCACTGTAGTCGGGAAAGAGAACGCGCCTGTCTCCTCCTGGACCTGCTGCTGCCCAGGGCTGGACAAAGGACTCGCGGGAGAGGAGCGCGCTCCCTGCTTAGTGCGCAGGCGCCGGGAGGCGTCGCCTAGCAACCAGCGACAACTGTGGACTGGGCGGTTGGCGACCGCTGCAGCCGGTGGGGACCGCTGAGTGTGAGGAGCTCGGCCTCTGCGGGGCCTCCCGACAGGTACGGGAAGGCCGGCGGCCGCACACCTGGCTCCTCGGTTCAGAGAAAGCCAGGGCGGAGGCAGGAGCAAAACTTGGGGCCTGTGCGGGTGGGGAGCGCCTTCTTCGGGCTTGTCTCTGCCCCGCGCCGGGTGTTCGACTGCGCTCGACCCCCTCTTAGTTCTTAGAGGGGTCCGGGGAAGGGGTGTCTAAGATTCCCTAACTTGTCTGTGAGCAACTCAAGGAGTGGGGTCCGCTTTACTTTGTCCCCCTTCTTCCCCTTTAAATCTGTTCAAAACATTGTTTGCTTTAGAAAATATTTTAGATTGGGGGCCGAAGCTGTGCGCAGAAATAGGAGTGACCACCGATAGATAAACTCAGGTAGGGTAAGAGCGGCTCTAGTAGATGCAAATATATTGACCTTTTTCTTTTCTTTTTTTGGTACTGGGGAATGAACTCGGGTCCTTGCACTTGCAAGGCAGACAGCGGCACCACTGAGCTAAATTCTGGGCCCTGCACTGACTTTTTTTAATGCCTTATTTTCCTAGCTAATACCACGAACTTGGTACTTTATTACCCAGTCCTTTTACTATTGCAGATTTATCCTAAATGACAAGCTGGGGACGTGGGTGAAAATTCCATAGCTAAGGATGTTCATTGTAGTCTAATTCTTAATTCCTACAAAATTGGAAATAAGAGACTGATTCGATAAATAATGAATTTTAAAGTATTATGTAAATGGCATGTTATGCTTATTCACTGGAGAATATCGAAGCAATAAATGGGGACTGACTGACTTGTTAAGAATTTAGGAGGAAGATGGTCCCAGGACCGGATAGTGGACTAGGCTAGGGAATAGAAATCTAGGAAGGGTGATATAATCACTATAGAAAACATGCACACAAAGGAACCATATTGAAATAGTACCAGTCTCCCTGAGCTTACCTTGAGTGTTTAAAAAATCTTATTCATTGTACCATTCTTTGCCTTCAGAATTCTCTACAATAAAATATACTCCCTTTATGTGGAAAAGATTAGGGTGATCTTGGGGGCTCATGGCCCCAGTCTATACCGGTTGCTTACTCTTTGCCGGCAATTATATCCCAGGTGGTGATAAAACATCCGCTGTACTGCCCAGGATCAGCTCTGTCCTTTGCAACACGGGATCATTAGGTAACTGAAGCTTCAGAGTTTTTCATTACGCAGTTGCTCAAAATCATGAAATATGAAAAACTATATCCTGTGTGAAAATCAGTTAATAGAAAACAACTTTATTTAGGTTTAATTTAATTCAGAAGGAATTCATTTGTAAATCCGAGGCTGTTATGTGTTGGAATTGTTATAAAGAGCCATGAGCCATTGTTTTCCTAGAGATTAACTATGGGTTAGCTTTTCATTTATCCATAATAATTTCTATGTCTATGCAAATCATTATAGGCAGAAGTGCTAGACCCTGTGCAATTTTGATGCTACTATGAAAGATAGATGAGATTTGAAAAAAATTGGCTGTAATATATGAAAACTTAAAAGTTAATATGAAATGTTTTTAATTAATATTAAATTTTCACTACATTTGAAAACAATTTTCTAATTGGACGAGAATTTCCAAGTATGTTAATTGCTGAGTAGTTTCAAATGTAAATTTTTTGTGATAAAAATTATATTTAATAGAGGATGTGGATACATTTTAACATATTGAATGTAGTATAACATAATGCATCACAGAATAAGTTTGCCTTTACTTAGCTTGCCATTAATGACCTGGAATAGATGTCTTTCAGCGGTCCCCAGAAGTTTCTATGCACATGAGGCTTTTAAATATTTGTAATACATGCTTCTCAATATCTGTAATTCTAGGAGTTGCTTTTGATCCTTGACGAGCAATTTCAACTAGGCCTGGCATTATAGATTCTCTCCAAGGATTTTCTACTTTCCAAGATTTATCTCTTGAGACTATGGTAATTTCATTGAGGCTCAATTATATCATCTGAGGCTGCCCAAATGGCACACATAATCCCACCACTCCCCTGAAGAAAACTAGCAAGACCTGAGTTTTTCTCACAGGCATGGACATCTTGGGAGGTTGTCTATACCCAGTAGGGTTATTCCTCTGGGGAATGTCCTTATGAAGGTAGGTGGGAAAAGAGCTTTCAAAGTGTGAGAAGTAGCCCCACTTTTCTCAGAATCCATTTCTTCCCAATTGCTTTGTTATTGAACTATGGATTATACTAGAGAAAATTCCTGCTTTGTAGCACAGACATTCTGGCAGATCCCCAAAGTGACTTGGATTTAGACTCTGAAGCCAATGTAAGTGAGCTATAAGCATGGTAAACTATTTCCTGTCATGTAAATAAAATCGGAGTGTTGGTGACATGTTTGTACATGTTCCATAATTTCTACATGTATTGCATTTTCTTTTATTAGGGAAAATGTAAAGGAGAAAATAAACCTGTCCAGAATTTAAGTAACTGAGAGAACTGTATACATTTATAAAGCACAGATGCCACTTTAATCATTTTTGCATCTTTTTCCAGGATGGGTAAAAAGATAAAGAAGGAAGTTGAACCTCCTCCTAAAGATGTGGTAAGTTTCTGATTTGAATACGAGTAGCATTTTAACTACCCGTTTTAAAATAAATTGTTCGAACTGTTTGGCATGTACCAGTATATACATGAATCCATGGTGGCGGAAGTCCAAAGTCTGACTGATGATAAGATTACTCAGAGAAATCTAACATTATATAAACAAACATTTACAACATTGTCATTACATAATTAGCCCAATTAGAGAGTAATTATTAGCTTTTCTAGTATGTGGATGGCACGTTCACGGCCTAGTGAATGAATTAAATAGTTTTGATTCATTATTTCAAATGCTTCACATTTACATTTTCCAATTTCTCATTAATGTGAATTATCCAAATGAATTTTCAGAAATAAAAAGAAGTTGGATTTGTACATGAGATTGTCTGGTGATAACCTTGGACCTGAGAAATACTGTATTTGCCAGTTCTATCAAAAAAGTAGCCTGGGATCACCAGATTTTTCTATTCCAAATTCTAAGTAATGGAGTCTCCTCTACAGAGAACTCTTCTCTCTTTAAACATGGTTTTATGTGTCCTCTTTAATTAAAAAGAAAGATGATAGTAAAAGCAGGAAATGACCTTTGACAATTTTCAGTTTAGAAACGTATTTCAGAACAGACTTCAGTGTGGCTTCTTTCAGATAAAATATGAATAGAAGGAAAACGAGATAGTGGGCAAACTCACAGGATCATGAAGTTTGTAGCAACTTGGACTTGCTGCGGATATTTCCTCTCCAAAATGGAGCACAGTGGTCAAGACTTTGTCCCAGCTCAGCCTCTCATGAAATATGTTATTTTGGTCAACTTGCCAAATTTGGCTAAGTTAATTCATTTTTTCTTTATCTCTTTGGTGGAAATCATACTCTTAACTCATTTGGGTTATAGTCTGAAGTAAGCTAAAATAAATTACATGAAGTTGTCAGTGCCCACCACATAGATAGCACTTTGAAATAAAATCTGTTGTCATGGGAATCTCCTGGACTGTGCTATACACACTCTGTCTGTCTGTCTGTCTGTCGTACACACACTTGTCCTGCACAACCACATGGGTATCAGATTTCTTTACAGCTAGAATGAAGGTTATTGAAGGGCCTATGTGGCCCAGTTCCCAAGACCTGTCAGAGGTAGTCATTGTGGTCTCTTGATACAGTTTCACACTGTGGTGGTTTCTTTGGACATACTTCGAAAATGTGGCAGACCTTTTTATTTATTCAATGCATTCTAGACTTACATCACCCTACTTTTTTTTTTCTACCAAATAGAATTATCCGTGTCTTCTTAGCAAAAAGTGGACTCGTGAGCACAGTACTTGGCAACAAATACGTTCTGAGTAAAATTAGAATTAAGGGACTAAGAAGCAACAGATAAATTTGTCTAATACATTTTCTCTGATTTTATGGTATCATGCTGGTGTTCTCTGTATTTCAATCTTTGGGGACACAATGGAGGACTTAAGAAATGCAATGCTGGCATTAACAAAGCAGACTTTACTTCCTCAAGTCACACAGCTGGTGGCAGCCAAAGGCACCTGGAACAATTGTCAGTGATCCCTAACTACTCATTGCCTCTTCCAAGAGTCTCCCTTCCTTTACTTACTCTTTCTACCACGAAAACTCATAGAATAGTGTTAAAACACGGAGTCCCTTTCTCTACCACATAAATTCGAATACATCCAGACAGTGTACTGCAGTTCACAGGATCCTAACTTGGAATTTCTTTCAGGGTCTACTACTTTAGTCTGTAAAAGGTTTGCTCTACAAATTGTAAATGAAAATTGAATTTATATAAGGAATATATCACTGCTTAAGACAATAAACTTTTCCTGCTCAGTTAATGATAATTTGCTCCCCGTCTAGTTCCTAGGGTCATTGATTCCAGTGATTTAAGTTTTTATCAATGATTAAATTGGGTAATAGAGACCACACAAGTGCTTGGTGATATGATTAAAACAAGTTGCCCCCTTTGCTTTTCTTAATATTCTCATAGGCCATAACATACATTAATACAGCTATACATAGTTTACTCTTCTCATGAAAGATATGTCAGCTAAGGAGGTACCTAACTATAGAAAAAATACAGCTTTAATGACCAATGCAACTGCCTGTTGCCTTCCTAAAACATCTTCATGTCTGGCTGAAAGGTTGTTTGTGATGCTTTAATCAGAGGTGAACTTCCTGAAAAATTATTGCATGATTTCCTAACAAATCAGTCAATACTGGGCATCACTATTTAGTATGAGGCCAGATACTCCATGCTTATGAATATAAGCTCAGGAATTATAATACTTGAGTTTGAATCTTGAGTTGTCCACTACCCACTTATGTGTGTTTGTGACCTTGGAAAACTTTTCTAACATCTGTGTAGCACGGTGAGGATGGAATTAAAACTCCTGTTTCATGGGAGTATCCACTCATGGTGGGGAAGTCAGGCTAGGTAAGAGTAAGATACTTAGAATAGTATGTAGCACTAGGTGAGAACTTAGCAAATGTTGCTGGAGTGAAGGATGTGGTTGAGGATGCTGTTCATTATTCTGCAGACCTGAGAAAGTTTGTAGGAGCTGTGCAAGGAGGCAGCGATGTTGGCTGTGGGAAACCAGCTGGTCTCTAAATTCCAGAGGCCTGCTGTGTGGCCACCATGATTCATGGTTAGGCTTTTGAGTTTTGCAAACATGGAAATTGTATTCATATTTCCAAGGTGATTGAGCTTCAGTGGATAAATTCGCAATACCTAAATGCTCAAGAGGTTGTGGCTTGGCCCCTAGAATCTCAATGATTAAATATCAAGTTATCAGAATATGGGTGCTAATGGATCAGTATTTTGTCTTCCGAGACAAGTGCACATGAGGAGTGAGGAACTGTGACTACTGACTCAGAGCAACACAAAGCAGTAGAACATGCTCCGTGCCTACGCCCAAATCCATTCCCTTGCTAGTGTGAGATGTCTCCTGGGGTGCGTTTTCTCCCGGACCTCCCTTATCAGTCTCAGAACTTAACCTTTCATCATTTGTCACAGCCTGACAACGCTGTCATTTTTTTTTTTTTAACAAAGTATCAGGGATTTGGTTTCCCATTGTTCTCCCTTACCATAGATGAACAAAAAGCACGAGTCAAAACCTATCAATTCATAAATAATATATACACATAAAACTATGTGAATCACTATCAGTTTGCTCACTTTGCTCCAAGTTTGCCACTCTTGTCCAGGTTGTAGACAAAGGTCCATTTTTAGCCTGGACATTTTAGCAGATCGTTACTGTGTGAGTAACCTGCTTTCTCCTGTTTATTGAACTCTCTTTCCTGTGCAAATGAATCTCATGATTTAAGACCACTGATGTAGCAGACACATTCCAACAGATAGCAAAAGAGTCTTTATTCATACAATTTGCCACCCTATAACTCTATTCTCCTGGTCTATTTCCACCAAGTTGAACTTAATTATCTTCTGTTATTTTAGACTTGATGGTTGAATACAATAGCCATTAGTCACATGTGATCATTTACTTTTATAATAATAACAATGAATTAAAACAAGATTAAAAATTCAACTCTTCAGTTGTCTTAGTTACATTTTAGGAGTTCGAGAGCCACGTGTGTCCTGTGAATGCCGTATCGGTCAGCTCAGAACCAAATGAAATTCTGTTAGACAGCACTCTTTTACACAGTCTTATTTCCTTAACCAAAATAATTAAAAATAGCTCTAGAAGTCTCTGGCCTCTCAAACTGATGTAGCTTAAAATGCAAATCTTAGCCAAACTGCTTCTCCTTTCTTTCATTGTTTCAGTAAATAATTTTGGTTCATCATTTATTTTGTACAGAGCATGAAATTATAATTTCACAACAAGCTTGTTGGTGGCTGTGATTTCCTCATGGGAAAGCAGATGGGATATGTAATTACAGCACAGTATTATTTATTTAGTCATGTGGCATTCTGTTAGAGCTATCATTTTATTCTCAGTGCCTTTTTAAATAAAAAATTACTATAATGCTGTAGGCGCTGTAGGAAAAACAAATGTCATGCCAAGTGTCTTCACTCTGTGCCAGACATTGGTATTTTTTTCTTTTGACAGCTCTTTAGATTGTAACTCTCACGGTCTTGAACTTCCCTGTAAGCTTCTCATACCCCATATTGGTTTTTTTCTTAATGATAACGGGAAGATATGGTGAAATACGGGAGTGATTTCTAAATCATTTAGCAAGTTTAAATGATATTCACTGTGGGCTTTGTTTAAAGGTATTTTCACATACTCTGCTCCTTTGAGAATTGTAGTCATGCAACATAGCCATGTTTAATTCTGAAAGATTCAGTCACAAGTGTATAAAATCAGCTTTAACAATATTGAAATATTATTTGTGGCCAAGCACAGTGGCACAGGCCATAGTACCAGACTCTCAAGAGGCTGAAGCAAGAGAAGTTGGAGGCCATGTCAGGCAACAGAGCAAGAGCCCATCTCAAAAATTAAAAAACAAAACCAGTGGAAAAAATCAAAACATTGGAAATTGAAAGTTCTAAAGTGGAAGAGAAATGTGTTCTGAATGATAGAAGATAAGATAGAGAAGGTAACTGGGTGGAACATTAGGGAAACTTCTTTAAATGGTGAAGATGATCTCAACTGTGATTTTTGGGGTTGGTGAGTGCCCAGGGGCTCACCAATTTTTCCCCCCAAACATACTACAAATCTTTTGTGTACAATTTCCAACCTTTCAGAGCCCATTGATGGCTCTATGAACTCAGATTGAGGTTTTCTGAATCAATATATAGTTAAGATACTATAAGTCCACAAGATAAAAAGCATTTCTGAGGTGCTTTACTATATTCCTTTACAGACATAAAGTATTCCCATACCTCAGGTCCTGTTATTCGATATGGAGTTGGAGAAATAATAACATGGTCCTTTGCCTGGAGAAATTCATTCCCAAACTGGGCAGATATTAAGTGCAAACCTTATACAAGTATTCTTCCATACTCTGAGATTAAATATGAGAACAAAGTTCAGGACCCAGCCCCCCGCCCCAGCTTGTACTGTAGTGAGAGAAGCAGTCATTTAAGGAACAACAATATAATACAGGTAGTGGTAAGAGAAATGAAGAAAAATAAGATAGGGTATGGGATGGAGACTGGTGGACCCTATGACTAGGATCTAGGGGTGATCTTTAAAAAACTTGTGTGAGATGAGGGAATGTGCTGTGTGCATATCTGTTGAGGGTGAACACCCTAGCCAGAAGACAGGAACTACAGCCGTGGTGGGTTCAAGGAATACCAGAAAGGTTGGTGTAGCTGGAGATTAGTAAACCAGGCATCGGCGATGGGTCACAAAGATGGCGGAGGGTGGTGTTCATGTCGGACTTTTCAGACTGTGCTAAGAAGGTTGGCATTTTCTTAGGGCGCGAATAGGGAAATCTATTGGGAATTTACAAGAGGAGTAGTCTTATTTGTACTTAAATTAAAAATAAAAGCTAATTTTAGCCTCACCTTGAAAGAAGAGTGAAACCTGGACGACCATAGCACTGTGGGATAGATTGGCAGCTAGGACCGGGTGACAACTGCAGAAAGTGGGAAGTGGCCGGAGTGATGACAAGATTTGCTCAGAGATTCTACCTGGAGTATGAGAAGGAGAGAAGTTGAGTGATGCATCAATATTTTTTGGCCTAAGTGAACGATGTCATACAACATACTGAGGATACATGTAAATCAAAGAAACAGGGCAGTGTGGTAAGAGTTGTTCCAGAGAAGTTTGGGAGATGAGAGCTGTGCTAAAAAAGAGGCCAGGATTTTCACCATCCAAAGTGTTACGAACAAAAAAATAAAAAAAGATTATCCAAAAACCAGAGGCCGTAAGCTTCTATAGTTTTAAGAATTCTTTTATTATTTTAATTCTTTAGAAAGGAAACAAAAACAGTTAAGTGGTGGGTGACATGGACTTTTGGTGAGTTGGCGAGGGTGAAAGATTGGTCATGTGTTAAGTAAGCAGGCTGACGAAGATGGAGAGAGGCTGGAGATTAGCTCAGTGGTTCGGCCGCCTGCCTTGCAAGTGTATGGTCCTGAGTTTGGTCCCCATACAAAAAAAAAAAAAAAAAAAAAAAAAAAAAGTAATAAGAAGTGAGAGGTTATCAAACTGAATGTAAAAGCAGAACTCGGGAAATTTCCTTTAAATATCAACATACACACAGACTAAAAGTAAAAATAGAAAAAAAGACGTGTATCATACAAATACTAATCATGAGAAACCTGGGGTGCCCTATTGATATTAGACAAAATGTGTTACAATTAGGAAAATCAGGTTTACAAGAGAAACATAGAGGTCCTGTCTGCAGTGAGGCCCCTCTGAAATTGTTGATCATGAATTCCGGATGATGCTAATTTCCTCTGAAGTTTCATTTTCTCAGAGAGCGGTTGGATGCTTGAGTGCAAAAACAAAGCAAATACTAGTTCTTTCCTGGTTTGGGTTTTGTAAGACCAGTTTGTTGAAAAATCAGACAGGCAAGCAGATTTAGGGGTTAGCAAGAATGTTACTACAATAACAGATCACAAAATATAAGCGCAATAAAATGTAAAGGGAAGACCTGAGAACGCACAGTGGAGCTCAATGAAATGAAAGACCTGTGAGGGAAGTAGCTGAACCATCAAGCGGAACCCTTCCCGTCTGGCTGATTGGCTGCTCAGCAGCCATCGGAGCCTGAATACCATGGGTGCTAGAGGAAACCGTCTGTGCAGTGGGCAGAAAAATGTGGTGGGATATCAAGAGCAACAGCAGAAGACAGAAATCCACAGATCGATGGATGGGTGCTGTTGAGGCCGAATTAGTAAGAGTGGCGAACACTTCTGCTTCTGTCCAGGATGTAATCATGGTGGGTAGCAGCAGGGGATTTTGGTAATGGCAGTGACTCTGAAAAGCAAGTTAATTTAAACACACTGAAAATAAACCAGTGTTGTAAGGGTGCAGACCCGCTGGAATTGTGCAGAGCTGATGGGAACGTAAGTTAATAAACCATGTTGGAAAACTGTAATGTAACATGTATGAAGGGTAATATGTGACTCCTCGATTCCATTCTGGGGTGTATGTATACACACACACACACACACACACACACATGTGCACACACACAAAACTATTCATTATAGTTTTATTCATGATTTCTTCAAGTGAAAAAAGAGAACCCAAACTGACATGTAATATAAAGCTATAAAATATGACTTCGTTATGTAGGCAAAAAATATTAATGAATCTCAGAGGCATTGTATTAAGTTTAGGAAGCCAAAACGTGAAATAGTGTACTTGTCTGGTTCCATTTATATGATTTTTAAGAACAGGAAAAATTAAGTAACCATTTAAAAAGTCAGAACAATGGTTATCTTTTGTAGTGGTGTGGAGGTTTGGGAAAGGAATTTTATGAAATTGTCAGACGTACTCTAAACATTGGTCAGAGAGATCTGAATTTAATATTCTGTAAGATCGAGTGGAAGAAATTCTAACACATAAAAAACAGTAGATTATGCTTTTCAATCTGACAGTTTTATTTACCATTTTGCTGTTTATTTTGATCAATATTTGATATTATTTCTACCACTTTAAGTTCTGGTTTTTCTTTGCTACAGTTCATGTTATATTTCTTTTATGTTTTCTAAATTGAGCAATTTTCCTTGTTTTCCTTTTTTGTTTTTAATTTGGAACTTCTGTACTTTTCTGTAGTCTATTTAAATGCACATATTTTAACCTGGATTTTTCTATTAAAATTAAAAGGAAAGATACATTGGCAACACTCATTTTTAGTAAGTTTCCTCTACTGATTTTGTTGAAAACAAACAGAATTTTATTTCCAAGTAATTGTTAGCTTTTTTAAATAATGTGCTAACATTATTTCAGGAAACTCTTTTAAGAATCACGGTATGACTTGTAACATTATCAGCATTCGTCATGTTTAACCATACATTTTGCTGTATTTCTTGATCGACTGCTGTTGATTTTAGATTTTTTTTTCTCTCTAATTTTGGCCGAACTGTTTGAGTAGTTTGTTTAGAGTGTGTGTTTGCCAGATATGAACTTGCAGTCACAATCCTTTTCCCTGTGAATTTTGCTGATTATCATCAATAAAGACTTGGAATCAGAGAAGGTATCTGTCATTTGCTGAGGCCTCATCTTTTATTTTCACTCTTGTTTCTTCTTCCTGTGTTATATTTTTTACTTGGTTGAGGCGGTATTTTATTCACCACAAATACAACATTCATTCTCATTGTAAACCTTCCTTGTCTTTTTTCTCCATTTGAATATTCTTCTTCTTTTTCTTTACATATCCCACTTTATCCCTTCCTCAAATCACATCTGAAATCGTACCGTCTTCATGGCACCTTCTCCCTTTGCGCAGTTCAGTTTAATCCCCCACCTCATCAGTATTTACTGTCTCTGCCATATGTGTTTGCATGTCACAGGGTCTTTGTTTATATCCGAAGAGATCACATGATCTGACTCCTTCATTTCATTAGGTGAAAAAGCTGTGGTCAGTGAGCCCCACGAGTCCCCGCAAGACTGGAGCTACCTGTAACACCGACATGAAGACAGTTCTCAAACCCTAGCCCCGAATGCTTTCAGAAGTCCTGCTTTAAAATTCTACGGGTGTCCATGGCTGCTTCCCCCCTGCTATGTGTTGAAGCTAGCGCCGGCCACTGCTCCTGTCTTTGCCAGAGGTCACCTTTTCTCGTGGTTCTTGTTGCTGTAAACCCACCAGTGCCACCAACGTATAGTACGTGGCCTTTTTAGAGAAGAGATGTCTCCCCAAAGTCTGAGAAGCTTAAGAGCAAACATGACTTGTGTAACTCTTACAAGTTCCAGGACAGCGTTCAACACGGACAGCTTTTTAACGATGTTAGATACCACTGTCCAACAGCCATTTCTCCTCCGTGGGAAATTTTCACTCTGGACATATCCTTTCAGGTCATTGCTGACAGCCACCTCCTCTTTCTTCTTTCTTCCAACCTCACACGATTATGTTTCCTTAATCAGAGATCTATCTCTCCATCTGTTCCCTAAAGCTAAACATCAGTTTTTTGTTTTGTTTTGTTTTTTAATATCCCAAACATAGGAAGAGTCAGCTAAAGCTTTGAAATTCAAACCTCCTCTTTATCATAACCAGAACTCCTTCTACAAGTTTCTGGAAATGGAAGAAAATAGTTTAATAATTTGTTTACCCTATGACCACAGAAATCCCTAGGGCTTAAGGAATATGAGTTTTTATTGTTTATTTTGGGTGCATGTGGATTCCCTGGGCCTCAGAGCAGGACACAGGTCTTCTTAGAGTTTCCCTAGTTTAGGATGTTGCCCAATTTTATATTTTGTTACATGCTCTTTTCTATTTCTCTTTTGCTGTTTCTTATATGGAATTCCTTCTTTCCCCCAAGAGAGACTGGTGGTGGGAATATAAGTATTGAATATTGAAATCGTCAGGGCATCAAATTTATACAGGCAACCACTGATTCTCATGTATTGATAAGAAAAATAATGATTCGTTATTTAGTGAGCATCTGTGCTGCATGTGGTGCTTTACATTTATGCTCTCTAATCCTCTCCTTCATTCTGTGAGAGGCTGGATTATCTCAATAGTACACAAAAAGAAATCGACATTCTAGAAGCTTGAGTGACTTGTTTAATTCCACATGGCTAAATTAAGAAACGAGCTCTGAAAAAAAAAGAAAGAAAGAAAGAAAGAAACCAGATCTGTCAGATTCCAAAACATTTTTCTACTCCCTCCCGCCATACTCCCAGGCTACGGATGAATAGTGATAAAAACAAAACCTTCGTAGAGCATTTACTGGACAGTGACCACATTATTTCTGCAAGACTATGGCCTCTTGAAATTTTAAGATGCTGTTCATATTTTATGTGATTTTTCAAGCTTGCATGGGAATATGATACTTCTCTTTTTGCATTTCAGTTTGACCCATTAACAATTGAAAGCAAAAAAGCAGCGACTGTGGTGTTAATGCTTAATTCTCCTGAAGAAGAAATTTTGGCTAAAGCATGTGAAGCCATTTATAAATTTGCTTTAAAAGGTTCGAATTATTTTAGTTTATTATTAAATTTTATTAGTTTCTTTAAAAATTCTCTACATGGTGAGCACTTTTCTCTCTAGTCTTTAACTTACTTCTTGTGAAATGAACTTTTTCAGTCATGCACAATATTATTTAACACACTATCAGAAAAGAATGTTCCCCTGTGTGCCCAGCTTAATCCCATGGAATAGGCTCCTAACTGGGTGCAAGGGTCTCTGGAGGACTTCACTGGAGTTTTAGAAACTGTAAATATCACAGGAGCCAAGAGAGCTTCCAGTGGCCACAGCTGGAGTAATGTGTGCTACACAAAATTAGGCAATGCTGGAATTACATCTCCAAGTGTAGGATAAATATCCATGAGTCAGTACTGTAAGTGATGGAATAAACAAATGGAAGAAGTAAATATCTCATGCAGGAGAATTTTATGTAATTGATGTAAATACTCTGCCCTTATTAGGTGAAATATAATTTTCTACTTTTAGGTGTGGATTGCACCTAGTGACTTTTTGTCCAGAGTGTCACATAGAAACAGAAGAGAAACTTGACAACCCCTACTCCAGCTAGTTGATCAAATGCAACATCAGCCTGTAATCCAGTCAGTACTTGGAAGGCTGAGAATCAACTTGAGTTTGAGGCCAGCCTGGGCTACATAGTGAGTTTAAGGCCAGCCTGAACTGCACAATAAGACCCCTGTTACACACATGCAGAAAAAAGCAACAACATCAGGGATTTCATGCTGATAACATGTGGCCTGGTTATGATCTGATGAACTTATTTCTGTTATTTTTCCTGCAAACCCGTGACCCACTTGTAGTCCCGATTTAAAAAAAAATACAGATAAATCTAAACATAGGAAAATATTCTACAAAATGTTAAATAACATTTCTTCAAAACCTTCATGGCAATAAATACATGGGAAGTCTAAGGAGCCAAGAGGAGAGAAGGAGACGGGAAGAGTGATGTATAGAACCTGGGCAGGATTCCAAACAGAAAATAAACATTAGGCGAAAACCAATGAGACCCAAATACTTGTGGACTTCAGTTAATAATAATGCATTAATATTGGTTCATTAATTTAAAAAATTACCATATTAATGTCAGATGTAACAGTAAGGGAAACTGGGTGTAGGATGCATGGAAATATCTCCACAAATTTTCTATAAAACTAAAACCTGTTGTAAAATACAGTCATTTAAAAATTTTAAACAATTCCCATCCTATTGAAACATTTATTAATAAAGAATTTACACATATATAAGATAGCTACACTTTAGTTCACTCTAAATTACAAAATTGGACCTATAATGCATGAAATTTGAATTGAGAATATTTGAAGACAGTTTGGTGTAACTAGTTATTTTTAACAAAACATTTCAAACTGAGATGAGGACAATTTGATTTTGAGAAAATACTCTAAACTTTGTCTGGGACTTGGAGATCAGTTAGCAAATGGTATAATACTCACCTTGCTTTGTCACCATGGTCATCTTCAGGAAACCAGAAAAAAAACCACAATGGCTCTGGAAGGTATAGCTTATGGGTGGGTTGTGTAGAATTCTGGGTCAGATTTAAGGGAAATATTGGTTTATGCATCTGTTATAACTTATATCTAGATGCACCCCCAAATCCTCATATGCTTATAGGTGGGGCTTTTGGGAGGTGACTGGATCATGGGTGTGCAGTACTGGATTAGCCCACAGATCAGTTGGGAATAGTTCTGGGTGTGGGTGATGGACTTATGGAATACAGAAGATTCAGCCTGGGTGTGAGTGGCATTAAAGAAAAGGCTTGCAGTCTAGACAGAATAAAAAGGGGAAGAAGAAAGTCTCTGCTTCCTGCCTGCCCTGCCATGGACTGTTTCTCCTCTGCTATGCCACCCTACTTTGGAGCCAGCTGCTCTGCCTTGTACTGAAATCTCTACAAACTGTGAGCTAATAATCCTTTCCTCCTTTAACATGTAGATTTCAAATATTTTGTTTCAGTAACAACAAGTTCACAGCATCTATAGCCATATGTGTTTTACTCAGCTTTAGATAGAATTCATAATGCCTTATGAGCAATAAAAAATTAGCAGGCGTGAAATGAAGCAGGGAAGATACAATCTATAAAAAGGGATATAAAGCACTCAGTAAATAAAAATTGACCCAGATAGTAGAATTAGCTGAAAAAGACATTAAAAGATTAATTATATCATTAATCTATCTGTTCAGAGAGTAAGTAAAAATATGGAAGATGAAAAACAGAACAAATACAACTTCTAAAGATGAAAACTTCAACGACTGGGAAACATATCAGCTTAGATTATATAGTGGGCTGCAGAGTAGACATTGCAGAAGAAAGTATTAATGAATCTGAAGATGGACATACTATCCAAAATGAGGCACAGTGGGAAAGATTTTAAAAGATAAACAGATTCCGTGAGCTAGGGTAGTATCCAGATGTCTAATACATATTAATTGGAGTCTCTGAAAAAAGAGAGATATGGTCAGAAAGAATACCAGAAGAAGGGGCCGGGGATTTAACTCAGTAGTAGTTCTACCAACTGCCTCACAAGTGTAAGGTACCAAAGCGGGGGGCACGAATGAGAATACCAGAAGAAATAGAACCAAAATTTCCAGATTTAATGAAAATTTTAGGCTGACATATTCAAGAAGTATGTCAAAACCCAAGCACAAAAAATATGAAGTAAACCAAGCCAATCCAATTGCTTAAAACCAGGATAAAGAGAAAATCTTAAAAGCAGCCAGTAGAACAGGGAAGCTTGCCAATTCAGAGGAACAAAATGACAACATGTAACAAATAACAAGCGATAAATAAGGATGAATAGCCATCAGAAATGCATGCAAGAAGTCAGTGGAGCAACATTTTAAAGTACTGAAAGAAAACTAAAAACTTTCAGCCTGGAATTCTATGCTCCCTAAAATATCTTTTTAAAACAGGTGAAATAAGGTCTTTTTTTCAGACATACAAATGCTGAAATAATTTATCATCAGTAGACCTATACTACTAATTATGGCAAAAGAGGCCTATGAAAAACATATGCCCAGCTTATTTAATGGTGAAAAACTGAATACATTCTCCTTAAAATCAGGACCAAGAGAAAGAAATCTGTTCTTCCTACTTCTATTCAACATTGAATGGGAGGTTCTAGCCATTGCAATCAAACAAGAAAAAGAAATAAAAGGCATTTGGATTTTAAAAGTAGAACTGTCTTTATTTGATTTATAGACGATGTCATGATTTTTAATTAGGGTTCTCTAGAGAAAGAGAATAGGACATAACGTAGAAATATTCCACAGGAGGTTTATCAGAGGAATTGGTTTACATGGTTGTAGAGGCCCAGAAGTCTCATCTGCAAACTGGAGAACCAGGGAAGCCAGTGGTGTATTTCAATAGTCTTTGAGTCCAAAGGCTTGATAATCAGGCCTGCTGATATAAGATCCTAGAATCCAAAGGCCCAAGAAGGAGGAGCTCTGATCTCCAAGGACAAAAGCAGATGGATATTCCAGCTTAAGAAGAGAGACAGTTTTTCTTTCTTCTACCTTTGTGTTCTGTTCATACCCTTGGAAATTGCCTGCCCACAATGGTGAGCAATCTACTGATTCAAATGCCAATCTCATCTAGATGCACCTTCCCAGACACACCCAGAAATAATGTGTTACTAGATATCTAAGCATCCCTTAGCCCAGTCAAGTTGACATATAAAATTAACCATCACATTTATAGAAAATCGTGTTGAGTCTACAAAACAAAAACAATAATTGGTAGAATTAATAAAGAGCAAGGCTGCTAGGCATGGTGTCACATAACTACAATCCCAACACTGTAGCTGTAAGCCAAAATAAACCTCTTCTCCTTTAAGTTGTAGATGTCAGATATTGTGTCTCAATGATGTGAGAGTGACTAAGTCAGATTTTGGTACCAGATAAGTAGAGTCATTGCTGTGAATATACCTGAGTGCAGGATTTAAAAGCCTTTGGAATAGGTTCATGGGAGAGTTTGGAAAGGTTTCAAGATGCCAGTTAGGGAAGCCATAGAATGCTGTCCTCTAGCATTCAGATGACCTGATATAAATGCATGGAATATATCAGAATGCTGATATAAATGCCTAGCAAAGCCTGAGTTCGGGAGATTTGAGTTGGGAACAAGTACTTCATTGGCAGTTGGACTACAGACTATATGTGTTACATTCTGGCAGAAAATTTGTCTATATTTTGCTCATGTCCTAAGACTTTTTGGGGAGACTGATATTAAGCACAATGGAATAATTAACCTGGCAGAGGAAATTTCATTAGTACAACCAGAGGCTTTTAGCTAGGATTATACTAAAACAAGCAAACAAACAAATCAAGGAGCAAAAAGCCCATTTGAAGTTTTTAGTCTGGCCAAAAAGGAGACACTTGCAAAGTCAGAGAAAAAGAGAGCATGGTTGTTGAAAAAACTAGCATTAAAGTGGGCTGGGGATTTAGTTCAGTGGCTCCGCCCCCACAAAAAATTAGCATTAAAAAGAAGCCAAGTACTTTGCATCAACAAGAGAAAAGATGGTTTAAGTACCTCAAGAATCAGCAAGATCCCATCTTTTGAAGATGCAAAGGTATAAAAGTGATATATTTTGCTTTGAAAAGAGAGGCCCAGGGCACCCTGCTCTAGAAGGCTGCCTAAGGAATTGGTTCCCTGTGATTTGGTTTATAACACTCAGCCACTTGGGCATTCAGAGTTTTCTGCAGCCATGATCCAAGGGAACCCAGCTGCTGCTTGAGCTGGTGGCAAACCTTGACATCATCCATGTGGTGCTATTTTATAGGTGTGCAGAATGCAAGAGTTGTTTGGCCAGAGGCCGGGCGTGGTGGTGCATGCCTGTAATCCCAGCACTCATGAGGCTGAGGCAGGAGGATCTCTGTGAGTTCGAGACCAGCCTGGGCTACAGAGTGAGTTCCAGTTCAGTCTCAACTACATAGTGAGACCCTGTCTCAAAAACAAAACAAAACAAAACAAAAGAGTTGTTTGGTCAGGTAAGCTTCCACGCAGATTTTAGTAGAAGACCTGAGGGACCAGTGTGTATGCCCCTGTGAGGGCAGTGTGTCAAGCTGGAAGCTGAAAATACAGTGGGAATCCTAGGAAGCTAGAGAAGCCTGGAACGTGGAATGTCTGCTGAGGAAAGCCATAGGCAGTGAGTGGAGCCACCCCAAGAGAGAGGCCACGAAGGTGAAACTGGTAATGCCACAGAGGTGAAGCCACCCAGCCCTTTGGAATTCCCATCTTGCCAAAACGTGTCCCAGGTGCTTAATGGCAGAGTACAGGATTTAATATTTGCCCTTTGTTCTTGGGCATTGTTCTTGCTTTGGTTCCATTCTTTTCTATCTCCCTTTTCCCCCTTTAGAATAGGAATGTTCAGCCTGTGCCATTGTGTACTGACGGGTTTAACATTCTTTTTGATTCTTCCAGGGCCTCAGAGCTAAGAATTTGCCTTGAGTCTCAGAGGAGACGTTGTTCTTGAACTTTTTAGCAATGCTGGAAATGTTAGAACTGTGGTGACTGATAGAGATGGACCAAATGTATTTGCATAAAAAATGGACATGAGTCTTTTGGGAGTCAAGGACAGAATGTTATGGTTTGGATCACAAATGTTACCAAAAGGCCTTATGTGTTCAGAGATGGGGCTTTGGGAAGGTGGTTGGGTCCAGTAATGAATCTGTAGCTGGGTGTACTGTGAGGAGGTGGCCTAGTCAGAAGAGGAAAGCCCCTGGGAATGTGATCTGGAAGGGTATATTTCCCCTCTCACCTCCTCCCTTCTGTCTCTGTACTTCCTGGCTGCATTTCATGAGCAACTTTCCTTCCCTCCAGCCCTTCTACCATGATGTTTTTGCCTTGAAGCCAACTAAGCAGAGCCTGTAACTCTGAGCCAAAATAAACTTCTTTAAGTTGTGGGCATCAGGTATTTTGTCTCAGAGAGGAGAATTACTAAGACATAGAGAAACTGAAGTGGAAGCAAAGAATGGGAAAAGCAGATGGCAAATAATGAATTAGAATGACACAGGAAAAGTGTTTATGAGATTGATGATCTTTATGTGTGATTTTATCTTACCTGTGATGTCAGGTGAGGAAAATAAAGCAACGCTCCTTCAACTTGGAGCTGTGGAGCCCTTAACCAAGCTGCTCACCCATGAAGATAAAACTGTAAGAAGAAATGCCACTATGATATTTGGAATCCTAACTTCTAACAGTAAGTATCAGCTTTTAAAAATAAATACAGTATCATTTCTTTCAACCCTAAGGGATTAGTTTTAATTTTATTAAAACCAACTTTAGGGCTGGGGATGTAGCTCAGTGGTTCCACCACCTGCCTCGCAAGCACAAGGACCAGAGTTCTATTTCCAATAAAAAAAACAAAAACAAAACAAACTGACTTTAATATTAACAAAATGAAAATTAAATCAAGACAATGCAACAAATGTATGATGTCATATTTTACGGAATTTTTTTCATGGACCTGGGGACTGAACCCCGTGCCTTCTTCACTGAACTGCCCCCCAGTCCCTTTCTCATTTTTTAATTTTGCATAAGAATCTTGCTAATTTTCTAAGGTGCCCAGTTTGGGCTGGAACTTACCATCTTCCTGCTTCAGTCTCCTAGAATGCAGGAGTTATAGGCATGCACCACCATGCCTGACTGAAATATTTTAGAGTATAAAAAGATGTACAGATATATCCACACAAACACTCGTCTCAGAGTTGATACGTTAGTATGTTCCAGTCTTAAAACTCAGGACAGCATGCATCATTTCTTAAAATCAAAGTATTTTGAAACTTTAGACTTTACAAAAATAAATTTAGGTGAGTATATTTACGCCTACATCAGATCTGTTACTTGCTTGGAATATTTTCATAAATGTATCGATATGGTGGTATAATGGGATTAGTTAAAATATACTATTATGTCTGTGAGAATATCAGTTTGGCCAAAACCATGCGAATAAAAGTAGGTCTTTTTTTAGGAGCATGATGTGTTTCCCTTATGTAAGTCATTTCCTTATGTTATAAGGGGTGTTTTCAGTCAGTTAATAAAAGCCTCTTGTAACTCACAAAAAGTTTAAATGAGACTCTTAATGGACACAGGATTGCACCACGAAGCAGGTTATTAGTAATAAATGTGTGTCTCTGTCAGGGTCTGTGGCTAAAAGCATGTTTCCCCCACATACCAAACAAAAACATCTCCACAAAAATGTTCCCCCACATCTCAGCAAAAGCAAGTCCAGATTTTCCCCCTCCTTCCTGTTCCCCCTACCTCCCCTTTTCTCTGGAGGCTGTGTGATGACTCGAGGGCTCTGATTCCACGATGACCCGCAGGGACTGTGGCATTAGCGTCTTCAGGGACACTGATGAGAGAGGAGTGGAGGAGGTGTTCCAGATGGAACATTGCACGCTCAGCTGTGGAGACTTCCTAAAAGACCCTGTGGGGTTGGGGTCCCCTGTGGAAGGCAACAGTGTCAGAAGCCCTGTTGGTGACTGTGCTGTAAGGCAGGGACTCAGGGATGAGGACATTCATAAGGGTATGCATGTCTCATCAACCTAGATCACGATTGTAATTCTAATTAGCACTTCTGTAGCACTTATGAAATGCCAGGAACTGTTGTAAGTGCTATTTAGAGATTCATTTAGTCCTACCGAACAGCCCTGAGATGTAGGTGCAATTATTATTTGTGTTAAAAGAAGCACCTGAGGCATAGAGAAGTGGAGTAAGGGAGTGATCACTTATATTGTGAGGGCCTCATAAATTTATCTCGAAGATTACTTGTATAGTAGTTCTGCATTAGTGCCATATCAATTGTATAACCAAAAACCAAAAGGAGAAAACAGGTAATCAAGAAAGGGAATATTTTAAATGTCTTGTGTTTCATACTGTTTACACACCACAGAATTTGAGAAACAGGAATTTATAACACTTGTTATGTAACACCTCGTTTTAAAATTAAAAGAGACCCCTCTTTGCCTTAAGTTACTTGCCCAAAGTCATGGTAGATGGTTAGTCGTAGATCTGAGGTCAAAGATTTCTTTTCTAGTTCATAGTTTAGTAGACTTTGTAATCATCAAATCTGGTAAGATCCTTCTGCGTACACTCTGTCAGGCTCTCCTTCTAAATGATTTTGTTGCAGAATGCATCTCATCTGAAAAGCAGAGTTCTAATTATCTGTTTGCACATACATTTTCTAATTTAATCTTTAGGCCTCCATCATTTCCTATTTACTATTGTTGTCTGTTTCTAGTATTAATTTTAATTATGGATCACCTTCCAAGATAAGTTGAGGAGCTCTCCAAATTGTTTACAAAAATTTTTCTGAGCAGAGTATAGACATTGAATTTTGTGAGTTCCTCCAGGGGTCTGTGACCTGGAACTCTTTAATAGTCACTGTTGCATTTGGACGCTAGGGAAGCGGCTCTCTGGGACCTCTGTAGCCTGCTCTAAGCTGGCTGGCTGGGCTGGCAGGTGCCAGGAGGCTCCCCAAGTGTGATACAGAGCAAGGCCCATGGGGGAGCCCTGCTGCCCTGGCTTCTCCAGTGAGCACTTGGATCTTGGGGATGATAAATCAACCTCTGAATGCTTTCTTTCCATTCCATAAACTGGATGAAAAAAAAATTAAACCACTGTTTGAATTAAGCTGACTGCTTTCAACTTGAAGTGTCAGGTGATGTGGTTAAAACACATGGCATCCCTAACTGCTTGTAAAGTTCTTTTTTTCTCTTACCAGAGCCAACACATTAACAGCTATTGCTTCACTTTTCATACATGTCCAGGGAAATCTGGAATGGAAACTGTGCATTTAGTCACTTGATCCAAATGAAAAATCATATTTCCAGACAAAAATGTGAGCAACTGCACTTCTTCAGCCAAAATCGTCATCGCTGGGCAGTCGCACAGTAACCAAACTCCTTCAGAAACGTGTGTCTTCTTGTGGTTTTCATGCCTTCATGGACACCACTGTATTCGCAGAGGATCACCCTGATGTTTCTACAGAGTGCCAAGAGCTAAAAAATGTTCCTGTGGAGCCATTTTTTCCCTTTTGCAATTGCAAACGCTCTTCTTCCCTTCTTTCTTATGTTTGGGCCATTTCCCTATGTCAAGCGGGGCTCAAGACAGGCACTTAATTACTTTATTGAACTTTCTTTATCACACGGAGCTACTGTCTTCTTTCTTCCGGTTTGTATTTTGTTCAGTGAATCCACATAGCAGAGACTGGCAGAATGAAGTCAGCTAAGAGAGAGTTCATCAGAACCCACACAAAAGTGGCCGTGGATGCCCCGGTGTCACATCACTTGAGGCAATCGGAAGAGTTTGGCTTCTTAAAAAGCTGCTGATATAAGAGTGTGCAAGCTCAAGAATAGCTAGATGGTCAGTATTGTGCAATCAAAATACATAACTAAGAATGCAGCTAAAACAGGTGATAGCAGGTGTCCCCGGAAGTGAAGTTGCTGGCTGTTCTGAAACAACCCAATTGTAGGTGGCACCCTGTTTAGCCAGGATGAGCTCAAGGGGCCCAACCACAAGTTGAGTTTCCGCTCACTTGCCATAGCTGAGAGGGTTTTCTGTTGAAAAAGAAAGGGACAGAGATCAATATTATGTTTAGAATGATGGAAATGGGCACTTACCTATTATTTTTGCTGATTTAACTTCAAGACAGGAAAGGCTCTTTGAAAAAGCCTGGTGTCAAAAAGCTGAATAACAAATCAGTTAACTGCGTCACCAGATTACAAGAGCTGCCAGTGAGGGGAATCAGTCAAGGAAATGGTTTAAAAACTGTTGATGAATGTCACTTGCCCTTTGGGCTAAATCCAGATCTAGAAGAGAATTTCATGGCATGGAGAATCCTCTTGCGAAAGTTTTTAATTTGTTTGTCTGGACCAAGGGTGGTATCCCCTGAGGCTGCAGGATTCATTCAACACCGTTGCCCCTCCAGCTGGGAGTCAATCACCCCGACCAAAAACAGAGCACACAGAGCAGAAATCTTGACCTCCCTGTCAGTGTTGGAGGCACAGATTCTGAAGGACACGGAAGTGTTTTATACACCACATGGGGAATGTGCTTGCTTGGAGACCTGATGGCCCAGAAACATTTTTTTTTCAAGCACATAATCATAGGAGACTTTGATATAGCTTGCACAGAAGTCTTTACAGCAATACAGACCAGACTCAGGAGAGAATAACCACACTTGCTTCTACAGAGTGGACTCCGTCCAGCTCACCAGACCCCTGAGAAGTTCTGAGTGCTGTCCCAACACTCTATTTCTCAATCCGGGGAGGCGATGCATTTTTCAAAACTGAGTGTTGACTGTAAAATGACACCCTCCGCCCCTGAACGTTGCTTCCCGGAAGTCAATGATGATTTGTGTTTCAAGTCTGTGTATACTTAACTGTCGTCTTGCTGGACCTCTGTTAGTCACTTTGAATAGAAACAGGAAGAAGTTTTGACAGGTTACCGAAAAGCCATAGCCCTTTGGAAAAGGGATCCAGTAAAAGCCTTGTCTAATCCGCAGTTGATAAGGAAGAGTTCGTCCGGGTTCTGCGGGTTTCGGAAAAGTTCACTTTTCCAAAATCCCGGAAGTGCCAATTTTGGCTTTTTCGGGTAACTGATCAAGAGGAGAAGTTGTGAAACTCAAAGAACAAAGATGCCTCATTTCTCAGAAGAGATAAAGGATAGCAAGAAAGAAGTGGAGGGCTACCAGGCCAGCCTTAATTAGGCTAATATAAATCATCCGAAAGTAAACTTCAGAACAGCCAATATATTTCTCTTTAAGCATTCTTGGCATGTTCAGTAATTAAATGGAATGGAAGCAACCAGAATGTGTTCATCGAAGCAGTTTATGGTAATTCTTATTTGCATTCTGTACAAGTTTTATTAACATCAAAGTTTATAAATACTTTCTCATCAAAACAAAGAGCAACTATAACAAATGGGTTGTGTACAATAGCTCACCTTTACAGATGTGTATTCTAGTCACAGTTTTTACTCTTATGGCTGTCACTTTTGGTGTTTGGAAGGCAGCATAGCTCAGTGATGAAGGGGCCTGGGTTAGAGTCTGGGGTCACACTGACCTTGGCAGGAAACCTGGCCCTGCTACTCTATGTTGTGTGACTTCAATTTCTGTACCTGTGAAATCGAGTTATGATAGTTCCCATATCTCAAGGGATAGCTGTTCAGCAGACATTGCCATTGTTATTGGTAATAAATAAATAACAGTGTTCTATTTCTTTGTAGATGATGTTAAAAAATTGCTAAGGGAGTTAGACGTCATGAATTCTGTTATTGCCCAGCTCTCTCCAGAAGGTAACGTTGCATCCTACATCTACTGCAAAAAAAAAAAAAAAAAAAATGGAACTGGTTTCTTTTTTTAATATTTTATCAAATGACATGTTGAAAATAGTTCAGAGCTATCAATTGTGAGTTGTCATTAAAACCTCCCAAACCGTGGCTCAATTTTTACTTTTTTAAAAAAAGTGAACTATAAGCAAGATTTGCAGAGCTATAATTTTTTACAGCACATTTTACGGTAGAAGTTGAATAAACATTGAGTGGACTTGTCTTATTGGTTTTCTGATGCGCAGAGGAAGTAGTTATCCACGAGTTTGCTAGTCTTTGCCTGGCGAACATGTCCATAGAGTACACCGGTAAACTGCAGATATTTCAACATGGCGCCCTGGAGCCTCTCCTCAGACTTCTGAGTAGCCCGGATCCGGATGTGAAGAAGAATTCTATTGAATGCATTTACAACTTGGTACAGGTAAGATTACCTTCTAAATGCTGTTTTGATGGTTGGGGTTACAGCTCCGAGGCAGAACACTTGCCTGGAATGCATAAAACCCACCCTGGGTTTGATTCTGATTATAACATGTATTTTCCTATGAAGAAAAGGAAGGATTTTAAAAGCTCAGCAGTTCTGTGTCATCAGTTCTTAGTATACTGAGTATTTATCACTCAGTAAAAAGAATGAAAGTTTACTGTAATCTCAGTTTGCATATTTTACAAGCAATTGTCTCGCACAGAAGAGTTAGAAATGTGCTTCTATTTAAGAAAAAGGAACTGTATGTAGATTAGGCTGGGATTAGTCTAGATAAAATGTGCTTCTTGTAAAATGGGAAATCTAAGATTCACATTGAACCTGGGAAGGGAGCTATTGAGCTGTTTACTTCTTTTTTGGGTGATAGCAGCGATCAAACTCAGGACCTTGCGCTTGCGAGGCAGGTGCAGTGCTCCTGAGCTAAATCCTGGGCGGGAGCTATTGATCTGATGCCGAGAGTCTAAGCACATTGGGTGCCCTTTAGATTAGACTAGTTTTTGGTGAGAATCCAGTGGTTTGAGTATACCAAACAATGTTCAGTATTCAAAATAGCAAGATGCCACCTCAGGGGCACTGTTTGCTGTGGAGTGGAAACTGCCACCTCCCCACAGTCTTGTCCTTTGAACCCCTCTCCCCACCCACCTCACACCCACAACAGATCAGTTTCCTGAGTCTTTTATCGGTTTTCTCTGCTTCTTTCCTGTTCAGGTTCCAACCACATGTGTTTGATAAGCTTTAGATAAGATGAAAACACAAAACATAATTTTAAATATCTGGGAGGGAGGGGGGAGGAGAGAAAAGGAGAGGAGAGAGGAGAGGGGAGGAGAGGAGAGGAGAGGAGAGATAGAAGCCAGAGTAGGGAGAGGAAGAGGTTGATAGGTGAAGTGTCTGGAATCCCCGGCCTTGGCACCTCCACGCAACCTGACTTTTAGGGCACTCCTAAAAGTAAGAGGCAGCTCAGCTCCTTCCTGACTTCTCTGGTCACTTGGGCTGGACCTGGTCAAGCAGGCTGTAAATTTCCTGTAAGTAGACTTGGGTTTTAAGACTCCTTGTAGACATATTTCCCTATATATTTTTTTAACCAACCAGAAATGAAAACCATTATCTCCACAGTTCCTCATAACAAAGTACTAGTTAGGAGCACTGGATTATGTATGCATGAGCAAAGCACCACAAACGGGAGGCTTAAAGTGACAGAAAGTCACAGTAATGGGGACAGAAGTTCACCGCCAAGGGGTCAGTAGGGTCACAACCCCTTCCTCTCCTCTTCCCAGCTTCTGGCAGTGTCTGTCAAGCTTGGCTGTCCTCGTGCAGCCCCATCTCTCCCCTTGTCATTGCTCTTCTAAGGACACCATCCAGGGCCCACCCTACTCCAGGATGAGCACATCCCACCTAGTTACAACTTCGAGGACTCTGTGTCTAAGTAAGGCCACATTCTGAGAGCCTTGCAGATTCAACTCCTTCCGTAACCAAGAGCAACCTCCAACTCATATATCTAAAGGAAGCTGAATGGTAGAGGTCTGTTGGAGGATGGAGGGGAAAGGTAATCTGTAAGCCTTTAATACTATTCTATACTTAACATACTTTGGTGCAAAAAAATATCGTGATTGAGTAGTTGTAGTATGGGGGCTTTTTATGCTTTCATGCCCTGTTTTCTGTACTGCTCATGCCAACTAGTAACCCCTCCTCACTTGCACCCACACAAAACTATTGATTCACACACAGACCAACTTGTCTAGCCTGTAATGACCCCTAACATCTTAAGGAAAGGTCACGTATCTGGATATGCCTGTGAATGCATCCATGGAGTCTTTCAAAAGCACTGCATGCAGAGAGGTATTTCATAAACAATCCATTTGTAGATAAGAATTGATATCATTATTTCATTATACCAAATACCATTTGAAGCAGCACATCAGAGTGTGAAAAGTATTTTATTATGCATAGCTTTTTATTGTGATGATATTTGGAGTAATAGGAATTTGCTGCATAAAAACAAGATACTGCAAAAGCCACAGATCATGTTTATTTCCTGTTGTTGACAATGTCTGCATAGTTAAAAATGAATATTTTGATCTTGTCATTTGAAAATTTTCTTATCTTTGTGAGTTATTTTAGAAGGGAATCTGTAATAAAAGATGGGAAAATTATAATTTGTAATGTTCTTTGCTAGAATATGGAATTTCTCCATTCTTGAGTCTGTTTTGCTTTAGAACTTACTGATGTGATCATTTGTATTTCATGGCAGGATTTTCAGTGTCGAACTACATTTCAAGAACTAAATGCAATTCCTCCTGTATTAGATCTCTTGAAATCAGAATATCCAATTATTCAGCTGTTGGCTCTCAAAACGTTGGGTGTTATTACAAATGATAAGAAGTCCCAGGCAATGCTAAGAGACAGTCAAGGGCTGGACCACCTTATTAAAATCCTAGAAACCAAGGTATTTGCAATGATTGTTCTCTTCTGTGTGAGAGAGCATATGTCTCCTAAATGTTATAAAATATGAACTGTAGAATATTTTCAAATAAAATTTTATATAAGTACAATATAAATATAATGAAGTAATTGGTTAATTGCTACATAAAATTTATTAGCCTGATTAACTCAGACTAATTGTAGAGGTCATTTGAAGTTAATTTTTTAAAAAATGGATTTCAGGCTTAGAAGATTTTAAATGTTTAAACATTTTTGTCTATTATTTTCCTGATTTTCTGAAACATTTAGAATTTGTCTTTTAACCCTTATCTATAATGACTTTCTTTCGGATAGGGCAAGAAGAGTAATTTACTTTCTAAACACATTTTTGAGAAATATTGAAGTGGAATTTCCATAGTTTCTACTAAGTTCCTTCGGAATAAATTTCACACTTTAAGGAGCTGTGTATCTTTTTTCTAGTATCTCCCAGCTGTAAAAACTAATCTAGCAGTTTATTGAATACCATTTAATTGTCTTGAAGTGATTTAGATAATTTCTGAAAGTGTCCCCTGCCTTAACTCCAGAGTGAAATCATCCGTTGCTCCACTGTAATAGTTTAGTAAATTAAATTAACTCTAATGACAAAAGTCTCTTCTTTATGCCTCTTAGAAATTCAGGAGACAGGGATAGATTAAAGGAGATTAAAGGCCCCCTGAGTAGTAACTGAATACTGTTTTACACTATCCAATCACTAGATTTTTTTTTTCCTAGAAAGCTAAAGATTAGAGCTTACTATTACAGAACTAGAAAAATAAAGCAAAATGTAAAAGAGCAATTCAGACACAGGTGTGTTTCTCAGCCACATAAATCTAGTTGCCTTTGCTTTGTTGATCCTTTCTGTGCCAGCCTGTGTGTTCAACGTTTTACATTTGTAATATAGAACTCTTGTAACACTGCACAGTATATATGTAGTAGTATTTTATCCTATTTTTAAAATAGAAACTGGAAATCAAAGAGGTTACTTAGTTTGTCCTGTGTGACACAAGCAGAAAGTGAGTAATTTTAGGAATAACCTAGGTTTGTCTGGTACAGCATGGAATTTTCCCCTCTCTGATATTTTACCTGTCCTGTTTTCATCAAAAAAGCGGGAGAAGGAAACATCTAGTATGTAGTAGGCACTGTATAGATATTTTGCATGTTTTTTTGCATGTTTTTTATTTACTTCCTAATTCAAGAATGTGATTTTTGCTATAAAGTGAGAATAAGGATAATAATGTGTCCTTGTACATCTCACATAATTATTATATCATCAATCCCATTTCACAGGTTAGAAAAATGAGGCTGACAGGTTAAATAACTTACCTGCAGTCACATAGCTAGGAAATACCTAAAAATTGTATTTTTTTCAGAATTGATGCATGTATTTTCATTGGAAAAACTGAAGTAATTACTGAGTTAAAAAGTGCAAGTGGCTGCCCTTACCTTCAGTGGGTAAAAGGTGCGGGTGTTTGCTTTATGTCACTTTGTCACTATCCAGGAAGTCCTTATCAAGGTGACAAAGCCAAGGGAAAAAAAGGAATGCACCAAATACAGACTAGATGAGAAGAAACAAAACTGGATTTACTGTAACTACAGTCACGGAATCGGAGTACAGAGACTGTGACACCCTAGGAGAATGAATAAGTACTTAACAAGCAGATCTATGTTATTTTATTATCTATAGATTATTATACCTAATAAGTAGATCCATTCGGGTCTCAGGATTAAGTGCTCAGTACATAAAAATTGACTATATCTGTGTCCTAGTAGTGAACAATTAGAAAGCAAAATAAATGCAATTCAATTTGTAAAGCTTTCCTGATGCATGAACCACAAGGAGTTAAATTTGATAAAATGTGTGTGAAAAAAATCTATTTACCAACAAACACAAAACAACTTTTAAAGAAGGCTTAGAAATGCAGTATACCTACAGAATCACAACACTCAGTATTAATGTGTCGTTTTTCACCAAACTGCCTTTTGAGTTAGAGTTTTCAGTCAATGTTTATATAATGATTTATTGATTTGGTTACATTTAGGCATGCTGTTTATTACTTATTTTCTATATGTATGACCTGTTGTTTTATTCCACCCTTCTTCCCTTCCTTTTGCTGCGTTATTGTTACCTTTTAATTTCTTGTGCCTGCTCTCTTGCTAAATTTGTTTGGCTTAGCAGTTGTTCTGATGATTACAATACACAGCTCAAACTTGACTTAGTCTACATAGAGTTCACACTGAATTAATTCAAGTAAAGTATTGAAGCCTTATAACACTATATTCCTACTTACTTTTCCTATTCTGAATACTGTTTTTGTTGTATATTTTATATCTGTGTACATTATAAACAGTGCAACAGAATAACTTTTTATCTTGAACAGTCTTATATTGTATGTGCTTTAAGGGAATTAAGAAAGGAAAAATTACATTTCCATATGTGCATGTAGTGTCTATCAACTTACCTATACTTAGGCGTTTTTTGGTTTGGTTTGGTTTGGTTTTGGTACCAGGGATTGAACTCAGGACCTTGTGCTTGAGGCAGGCTGTGGAACCACTGAGCTAAATGCCCAGCCCAATATTTAGGGTTTTTTATATCTACCCATATAATGACTGTATCTAGTGTTGATCATTATTTCTTGTGTGTCCAGTTTGCCGCCTGGGCCGTTTCCTTCAACCTGAAGAACTGCATTCAGCATTTCTTATGGTGCAGATATGCTGGGATTTAGCTCAGTGGTGCCACCACCTGCCTCGCAAGCACATAGTCCTGAGTTCGATCCTCAGTACCAAAAAACAAGCAAACAAAAAATGTTTTCCTTTACCTTCACAGTTATGAAGATATTTTTAATCGCAGAATTCCTGTTTGACATATTTATTTTTCTGTTTTGAATTTTTCTGTTTCTTTTGGACATAATATTCAGCCACTAAAGGGTTGGGAAGTAGTACTTGCCTACCATGTGTGAAGGTGTTGGTTTCAGCCCCAGGTACCACACTAAAAAAAGAAAAAAAAAAAGAAGGAAAGAAAGTCAGCCATTAATCATAACACTACTCCCCAAATGTAAGGTGTCTATTTTTTTTTCTGCTGCTGCTGCTTTTGAGATTTCTCTCTTTATCTTTGGCTTTCTTCATTTTTGCTCTGCATATCAGTTGTATGATTTATATGCCTTGATTGGAGTCTAGAAATTCTCAGTTCTGTAAATTAATGTTTCCCACTAAATATGGAAATGTAATTATTTTCCTTCTCCTTTGCCTCTCTAAGACTCAATTGTACTTACGTTGTCCTGCTTGATATAACTTTGAAAGACTCTAAGTTCTGTTCATTTTTCTTTAATTTTTGATTAGCTAATTTCTTTTGATGTCTATTCAAGTTCTCGTTCTTTTGCCATCTTTAGTCTGATGTTAAGTACTCCTGGTGAGTTCTTGTTTTTACTTTTGTGTTTTTCATCGCTGCTTGGCCATTTGGCTAAGATTAAGTGTAGTTTTGTGCTTTTCAAGTCTTAAATTTTCCTTTTTAAGTTTCATGTCTATTAAGTATTCTTCTTTGAACATATTTGCAATGGCTGCTTTAAAGTCTAACTGTTTATTCCAGTAATTTACTTGTCTAGAGTAGGATTTTAGTGACTCTTTTCACCCCAGAATTTGATTCATCTTGCTCTGTTTCTTTGTGTGTCTAGCGATTTTTGGTTCAAAATGAACATTGCAGGTAATACATTTTAGTGATTCAAAATTCTTTGGTATTCTTCTAAGGATTGTTAATATTTTGTTCAAATAGGCCAGTAGCTGAAAACATCCTGTCTCTATTGTGAGGTACAACATCTGGTATCACTGCTCAGTTCGAAGGGTTTCTGTTTACTATCATTTTTGTTTAGCCTGACTCCAGTGTTTCTAAGGTCAGCCATGGATATGGGAAGAATTTTAACTTAAATTTTGGGGCTCACATTTTTGATCACCTTGCTTCTGGGCATTAAATTTATGACTCATATCTTGGCTTTGGGTTCTTACTTCTGATAGCTTCAGCCAGGAAAGCTTTGTTCCACTCTCTCCCAGCTGAATTGCACAGGTTTGAGGAAGGTGTATTTGAAAAGCAGCAAAGCAACTGCTATATCCCCTCAAGGACCTCTGGTGTGGCCTCCATGCATGGAAGGTTTAATGGTCAGCCAGAGGTCTGGGCATAGTTCATTCTCAGATTTTTGCTGTCTGTATTAGTGAGGGTTCTTCAGAGAAATAGAATGGATAGTTAAGGAATCAGCTCAGTTTGGTATACTTAGCAAGTCCAAAAGGCAATTTACTGACAGAGTTTCCTCTATTTCCAGGATGCCAATGTTTTTCTGTTATGGCCTCCCACTTACGGGTGAGGCCCACTTCCATTATGGAGAGTAATCTGTTTTATCCAATGTCTATTAATGTAAATATTCATCCCATCAAAAAGTCATCTTTACAGAATTATCTAAAGAGTATTTGATCAAATATCTGGGTTCTCTGGTCTAGCCAAGTTGATACATAAAAATTAACCATTATAAATTTATTTCTTATCACTTTAGTACATATATATATCCTTTTAAGTCATATTTAATCTCCCTAGGAAAGGCAAGGGCAAAATAATATGTGTACCTAACATAATACAGCTATCCTACATGCAACCGAAAATATATTAGCTCTCCATAGAAGAGGATGCTAAGTCCTCAGGTGGTGTTTATTCTTCTCACTGATCTTCAGAAGCTTAAATACTGTGATATAAAGTTCACCGAAATTAATTATTGTAGTATAAAGTTAGTATAGTGATAAGTGGATAAGAGGTGAAAGATATATAATATGTGCATATATATTATTTGTATATAAATGTATACGCACACATAAACATATTCACAACAGAATAAGAAATACTCATGATCCTGACAGTCTTAATTTCTTTAACCAGTCACATGGTTATAGTTGATAGTCACAACTGCCTTCTTTCACTGCCTACCCCATATCGCTTTGTGCTCAGCACCTAGCTCCACCAGTCATCAGACTTCTCTTGTGGGATGACTCAGACCTTCATTCCTGCAGGATCAGGGCCTTAAGGAGCCCTGCATGGCCTTGGTCATTGTGGATTTCCATTAACTGTAATCACAGAGCGTAGTACTAAGAGACATGCTAAGAGACACCCTAAGAGAGCTCTTGTTTTCCAACCTTCTTCCTTTCTAGCATTGTGGAGGATCAGCCTGATTTCCCTTTGCATAGTAACTCTCTGCTTTGATTCAGAGGCATGGGGAGCCCTGGCGACATTGTGTTCAGAATTAAGAGCTGTAGATAAGCAGATTGTAAGACTGCACAGGAAGGCAAGGTTTTGCTAGTGAGTCATTAAGGGTAAAATGGGTGGTGCCACTCCCATTTCAACTCCTAGCTTCTTGGACTCCTGAATTCTAGCTTTGGGAGAAACAGCATTATATGTCACACACTGCCTCAACGCGTACACACCCTTGTGGAGAACCTCGTTTCGGCCCTGGCAGGAATGGCCACATGGTTGGTGCTGTAACTGAGTCTTCTAAAGACCACTGCAGCAGTCTACCGAGGCGCCTGCTCTGGGTGGTGGAGAGTGGGTCAGACCTGTGAATTCCACGAGTAAGGGCCCTTTGTTGCACTCGGGCAGTGAAATCAGTTCCTCGGGCAGGAGCAGTGCTGAGTGGAGCGTGCAGGCAGACGAGCATCTTTTCTGCGCTTCTCCCACTCTCAGGGTTTCTCTCTGAAATCTGTAGCTGTCTCGGCAAGGCTCCAGTTTTCCACTGCCTTGGGATTTGGGAGATTCCTTGGTCATGAAACCCACAAACAGTGCCAGCTTTCTTCTATCAGCTACAGATTTTAAGGAACACATTTTCCTTAAACTTTTCTCTGCTGTTTCAAAAAACATTTTCACCAGTTTAGAATTGTTTTCGGTGAAAGGTTATATGACCAATGCCCCCTGGCTACCATTGATGTAAATTTCCTCAGGAGCATTACCCCCCATAAAGCATTTTGGAGTAAAAGAAATGAGCAAAAATGGGAACATGGGGCACATGTGTAGGTGCAGTGATACTGCTCTGATTAACAGAAGTCCTGTTTTCCGGAGCCCAGTCACAACGAGACTACATTACATTCTCACTAATCTCAGTCCCTCTGCCAGGAAAATTTGCAAAGAGTGAGTTTCTCTTGGTGCAACTTTCTAAAGTTGTGGCTGTTTTTCTTACTAGGAACTGAATGACCTCCACGCAGAAGCTCTTTCGGTGGTGGCCAATTGCCTTGAGGACATGGAGAGTATGCTGCTGATTCAGCAGACAGGAGGGCTTAGGAAGTTCCTAGCCTTTGCGGAAAACTCTACAATTCCTGATATTCAGAAGAACGCAGCGAGAGCAATTGCTAAAGCAGCTTATGATCGTATGTCTCATTTTATATAAATTAACCCTACATTGACCTCTTGCAGCCCTAATTTGGATTACTATTTGCAGTCACTAGAGTACTGGTTTGCTCTTTGCCATTGGAGAATAGCAATATTTTTACTACTTAAGACCAAAGCCGATCCCACTAACAATGAGTTAAAGGTTTGTCAGGTATGTAATAAATGCATTATGATTTAATTAGAATCCTATGCTTAACTATTTGGTCTTAAATTAAGTTTCAAGCTTTTACTTCTCTTATGTTTGGAACAATACAAAATGCATACATTTTTATTGGTATTGTTTCAAGAAATCTGCATTCAGAATAAGGGAAACAAGGAAATTTCTAATTTCAGCAAGAGTCTTAGAGTGCTATGTTCTACAACCATGAAAAATAATATGCTCATGCGACATACATAATGATTTTCATTTCTGTGACAAGCTATGTGGACATAAATCTGTAAGATCTGAGAGATTAAGTATATCTCGTGCACTGGAGGTGAAATTATAGTTTTAATTTATGTATATTTGTAGTATTTTGTTTAATAAAAGATGTGATTTTATTTTTCCCTTCTGAATCACTACTCTTGTACATGATGACAGCTTTGACTATTCTAAGTGATTTATATTCTAAGTGTATATATTCGCATCTGTATATATGTGTATGTGTATACTCTAGGAAACACTGTTTTTCAAGCCCATGCTAGACTTCTTCAAAGCCAGGATTTAACATAGTAAGCAAAGACAGGCTGTGAGTTAAGGTTTTTGCAATTGGCAAATGTTGGTTTCTTTAGTATTCTGTCACATGGACATTATCACAGCTGGTCAGTTCTTTTTTTCTTTTATTCTAAGATTCTTAGCTGATTGAAACCCAAAGAGAGATGTAACGGAAAGCATGGATTCAATGTCAAGCCTACAGTTTTTGCATATCTTGGCTTCTCTGTGATCATTCTAGGTCTGTCCCAGCCCCTCTTTGGCTGGTGAATTTTATATTTACCCATACGTGACATAGCACGAGAAAGCATAGAACAGAGAGTTCTTGGTGTTTTTGTTCCTATCCTAGTTCTACCATTGGCACTGCAATGACCTAGTCATGTGCCCCAGACATATTTCTTAGTTGATTTATTCATTTGTTGAGTCCGCATGTGATGATAACTGAGAACAGGCTAGCAAACAGGCAGACGGAATGCATTAAGGGAACTTGATGATAGAACCATGGGGTCACTGAGGAAGGCTACCTAATGAAGACTTGGGTCAGAAAAGTCTCCCTGGGCTTGGGGATTTACAATTTGGGCCTAGAGTGAATCATTAAAGTTGGTAGGGAGAAGAAAGTCTGGGTAGGCTGGAAGAGAACCTGCAGTTCTCTAAAAAAGAAGAGTTGTATCGAAAGAAGTGTAGAAGAAGTGTAAGAAGGCCAGGGTGTGGAAAGCTCCAGAGCTGAAGGTGTTCAGAGAATATAGACGCTAGAGAATATAGACTCCCGTAGAAAACAGGCTTAAGGCTGTAGAAATAGTGAGGACCCAAATGCTAATAGGCATCATAAGCCAAGTTAATTAATGGCAAGGAAGCACCATGGAACAGACTTAGGAGAAAGAACATTACACCTCTTCATGTTTGAGGAAAGAACATTTTTGCTGTAAAGTGGAGAAGAGGTCAGAAGAACAAGACACAAAAGACCAAGAAGGGGGTTTCGGTGATAAGCTTGGTGAAAAATGAAGCCGCTCTGACAGAAAGACTAATGCTGCACGTTTTCACCTACATAAGAAAGCTAAAGAGCTTACCTCATAGAGCAGAGAATAGAACAGTGGTTTCCAGAGCCTGGGAAGGGAATAGGAGCAGGCAGAGACAGGACAGGCAGGCGGTACATGAATAGAGTTGGAAAGGAGTTGGAAAGTTTGGCATAGCACAGCAGGATAACTATGGTTAACAACAACTGAATATTTCAAGAGCTTATAGAGAGGATTTTGAATGTTCTCCACACAAATAATGTGTGAGGTGATAGATATTCTGATGACTGATATGATCTTATATGTTACACACAGATATCGAAGCATCACACTGACTCTATAAATATGTATATTGTGTGTATTAGTGTCAGTGAGAAATTATTTCTAAAAATGGATCCTGTCCTCCTGTTTTGACAAATATATATGCATAGCAAAAGAAGTCAGAAGACATGTATATTGTTTTACTTGATTAGAGGTTGGTGAAATAGAGAGAGAGATACACACAGAAGCTGCTGTGGCACAGAGATGTGGCCCAAGGCTTCTGCAGGGAGAAGCACCAGCACAGTTCGGGGCACACCACAGGTGGAAGGACCTTGTGGGTTGAGGGAGAGAAGGCAATACCAAGGATAGGGCGGCGTCTGACGTGGGCAGCTGGGGAAAAGTGTTACAGCTCACAGAAGTGGGGAGGTCAAAGGAGAAGCAGGTCCTGATCAAAGGACAAGACATGGATTTCATTTTTCCATTTTAAAAAGTTATCGTACAATGTGTATAATATTGAAAGCGACCACTGTAACCATCCTACATGCACAGAAGTGGCAAAAACACATTCCCATTGTTCTGCTACCGTGGGCTCGCAGAACTCTTCAGCTGGCAAAAGTAAAATTTGATACTAACTGAACAGACTCCCCGCTTCCACCTCCCAGCAGTTGCTGGCCACCACCATGCTACTTTCTGGATTTGACTGCTCTGCGTACTTCATGTACCTGGAACCGTACAGCATCTGCCCTTTTATGACTGTGTAGCATTTAGCGTGGTGTCCTGAAGGTTCATCCATGTTGTAGCATAAATCAGGATTTTTTGCGTTTTAATACATGCAGTATAATATTCTGTAATACGTGTATATTTATGTCTACATATGTGTGTATGTACATATAGAATCCACAGAATGTTTACTCTCAACCACTGATAGTTGGGTTGCTTTTGCCTTTTGGATATTGTGAATAATGCTACTGTGAACATGGGTGAAAAAAGATTCCTTTCCCTCTGTGCTTTCAGTTCACTAGGTGTGTGTGCTAGGTCACATGGTAGTTCTATTTTTCAGTTTTGGAGGAGTTGCCATGTTGTTTTCCATAGCAGTTGCGCCATTTTTTTATTCCCATCAGCAGCGCACAAGGGTCCTCCAGCTTCTGCACATCCTAGCGTACATTTATTTACTGTGTTTAGTGTGAGGTGGAATCTCATTGTGGTTTTGATTTGCATTTCCCCACTGATTAGTTATGCTGAGATCTTTTCATCTGCTTATTAGCCACTTGTATATCTTCTTTGGAGAAGGGGTTTCTCAAGTCCTGTGCCCATTTTTAACTGGTTCACTTGTTTTTTCTTCATATTTACTTATAGGAGTTCTTTATATATTCTGGATATTAACCCTTTATCAAATATATGATTGGCAAATACTTTCTCCCGTTCTGTGGGCTACATTTTCTTCTTCTTCTTCTTCTTCTTCTTTTTTTTTTTTTTTTTTGGTACCAGGGATTGAACTCAGGCCCTTGTGTTGCGAGGCAGGCAGTGGAACCACTGAGCTAACCCCCCGCCCCTTGTGGGTTACGTTTTCATTCTGCTGCTTGTGTCCTTTGATGCGCATGAGTTTTTCATTTTAGCACAGTCTAATTTATCTTATTTTCTTTCTTTTGTTGCTTTTGGTATGTATTATCAAATTTAGTGTAAAACAGCCCCTTCCCTTATTCCAAGAATAGTTTTAGCTCTTACATTTAGGTCTTTGATCTTCTTTGAGCTAATTCTTGTATATGGTACAAGGAAAGTGTCCAACTTCACTCTTTTGTGTGGAGGTGTCCAATTTTCTAGCATCACTTCTTGAAATCTGTTTTTTATCTGTAACACAAAATAATTCAAGCAAATAGTCTCCAAGTCCTTTCTGGCACTTTAATGTCTTCTGATCCTGCTTCCTTATGTTCTAAAATAGCTACATTCCAGCTTTGAATCGTGTCTCAGCCTTTATTTTGGAATCTAGTGACTGAATCTGTGTTCCCTTCATCTGTGTCATCTGTGATGGTATCGTGTGGCCCTCAGCCATGACTTTGCCAAGTCGAAGGGTCCTTCCCTTATTTGGTCCATCCCCGGATGGCACATCCCCAGGCTATCCTGTGATCATCCTCTCGCCTCTTCCGGGCTTCCTCTTATTTTTATGAAAATAGGCACCATCATTTTGTATAATATACAGATGGGTTGTTTAGGATTATTTTCCCCTTTCAGTCTTATGAAGCAGGTATTTGTAATGGATCACTCGGTGTATTGGACCAGCCCTTTGAGGAGAAGGCCCACAGAGGGCATGGGGCCCTTCTCCAGTCAAGACAGGCTTTCGTTTTAAATTCTAATATGTTGTTTTCGTGGTTTTGAAAATGCAACTTTTTTCTTTAACAGTTTTGCATTTTCTTGGAGGCCTAGAAAATGATCAGTCTGCACAAGTGATCTATTAAAACTTGGAAAGGTATACTAGCTTGTGAGTTAACAAATGTTCATTGGATATGCGCTGTATGCAAGGCCCTGTTCCAAAGATAAGGACAATGAAAGTGATGCATGGATAAATATTTGCTGAAAAGACAAATAAATGTATTTCCTGTAGAATATAGACTTTGGGGCTTATCTTCACCTTCATAAATTATATTTGTACAGTTCTTTTTGTCCTTGTTTATTATTTTATCTACTAGATCTGTGGGGTGTATTAGGAGTTTCCCAATATGTTATTTCTCTAAATTTTCTCTCACAACTTTGATTTCTTTCATATTGTTTTATATCCATGACTGATTATATTTTTAAAAATCTCAATTGCCACCCTTGAGTTTCAGAGTCTAATTTGATATGAAGATTGCCAGGTATTATTAAAAGACAGTGCTGTAAACTTCAGCTAGTTTAGATAGAGAAATGAAGGGGCTACTTCCAGAGGTATAGGACAAAGGGAACCACAGACATGGAGAGGGCCCCACAGACTAGAATACTGGGGAGATTTCACCACCGTTAGGTCCAAAAGGCAAGGTTT